GAGCGAACGGTGAACGTTTTGTGAACGGTGAACGCGAGCGCATGGTGAACGGTGAACGCAATAAAGTGAACGAAGAGCGAACAGTGAACGCACGCTGAACGAACGGTGAGCGAACGGGAAAATGGGAAAGTAGAACGTTTCAGGGACTGTATATTCAAGATATATGGCCAAATATCTAGGTTGAAAAGTGCCGAAACTCCCCGAAATGAGAATTTACTGGTAATATGCACATTTAAACATTGTTTCCTAAATTTTTGACTAAATTCTGTGCAGCAGTGTATGAGGAGTTGCTCTGACAATAAAAACAGGACTGGTGGAGTGACTGACAGAAATATTTCACTGATTTTACTAAAAGTGACTATCTTTTGTGATTTTTCTGATTAACTGAGAGTATGTTTTCTGATTAAGGACATACGCAACGTACCTTACCCACTGATAACTGTTCTAGATATTCTTAATTTAAGATTATAGTGCCATCGTATAGTCATAGACAAAAATTCAGCATGCATTACCAGGGTTTTTATGAAGATATCAAATTATGAAAATTTTTTGCATTATTCAAAGTTTTAAAAATATACAAAAATTACAAAACATTAATTCCTAAATTTTTCCCCGTCAAATTTGTTTTAGAAGAGGAGTATAAATCCAAATATAGACATTAAAAGTTTTGCATACAGGCCTTTCATTAAGTGGAACACTTAAACTCAAGGGAAGAACCCAATAATGTACAAACTACGTTGCGTATGACCTTAACTGTACTTTGTTGATTTCCCAGACTAGCTTATTTACTTCTTTTTTATGATTTCACTGACTCTGACATTATTTTATGATTTCCTAGATAAACGGACCCTTTCTTAAGTGATTTCCCCAAGTGTCTTTCTTTAGCGAGTTGAGTAAGTACTGTAGATCACTAAATTTTCGCGACACCTTATTTTCGCGAGATTGTCATCGACTCTTGATTAGGGAGACAAAATTTTCGAGAGTTGTGGTTATTGCTTTATATATTCTTAAGGAATACTATTATATGCGAGAATTAAATTTTCGCGAGCACATTGTCTCGCGTAATTACGCGAAAATAAAGTTCTCGCGAATAAAAAGGGATTTACAGTACTTTCTTTGTGATTTCTCAGATCGATTGAGTTACTTTGTGATTTCCCCTTGGCATGCTAAGATCCCTCCTCTGGTAAAAAGAGTAGTCTTTTTGAGGGCCACAAAAAATATAAATCCAAAACTTTTCAATGTGATACAGTAATCTTTTCAAGGTCATGTATTTAAATTTAACTAGAACTGTCCAAGAGGGACGAATACCCCCCGCTGGGTTTTTCAGAGAAGGTGCCAATTTAAAATTACTTTATGGATCTAGAGGTGTTTACTATTTACTTACAAAAATTTGCTGTGAAATATAATCCATTGTAACATTTTTTTTTATTTCATCTGCAATAAAGAAATATATTGCAATTATGTATCATGACACTCTGCAAACTGATTGTTTTAAAAAAAAATCAAAATGATTATACAAAATCAAATTAATCTTTATATCTCAAATTCATTTTGAAAATAAAGAGCTGGTCATCCAGTAATGAAGTGCTTTGACAGACAATAAATTACAATTAGGAGAATAAGAGAAGAGAGATCTTTAATTCTTGTGCCTTATTCCCTGGAGATTAGATAACACACACACTTGATAAGAGATATGCCTTAACAACTTCAAACACCAAACTCATTAATTTATCTTTAACTGGATGCATGTCCAGTCATTATTCCCAAGAGACAAATGAATTCACATTATCTTCTGTGTAATGTAAATTTCAACACTTGATGATGTTTCCTTTTTTAGTTGGAAGTTTAGTTAGCAGCTGTTTAAATATTATATTAAATAAACCGATAGAAGTATTTAATACTATGACAGTTGTAATTAATTAATAAATAATTGTCATTTCGTATTTACTTATTTTTCCACATGTTTAAAAACGAAATGCCGATTTCATGAATGACTGTTTAAAGCCATATATGGCGTATGTACAATGAAAATTATTTTACTAATATTATGAAAACTCATTATTTGTATCATTACTTTATATAAAGATAGAACTTTTTTGTAAATTATAAAATCTGAAGTCAATTGCGTTATAAAGATATCAAAATTTAATTTGGATTCTCGGAATTTTCTCCGATACGGAAGAAAATACAAAAGATTCAAATGACACATTACAGAGAAGATGAAATCGTATTTTTAGATAAAATGAGATGTTCTCTATGTTCAGAATTGTATGAAAAGTTTTAATTTAAATGTATTAAATATATTTCTTTACTTAATTTTGTATTTTTCAAAAAAAAAAAAAAAATAATCAGTTACGCCATATATGGCTTTAATAAAACACAAATTGAATTTTGATAATTATTATATATCAGTCTTTCATAGCAATTTAATATTTTATGAGTATAATGTAATAAATTAAAAAAAAAAATGAAATCAAAAATTCGATTTTTTACTGCAGGAATGTGAACTCATTGATTTCAAATAATATTGATTATATTCTGTTTGATTTCCGTAGGCGGATTATTTATCTTGATTTTGATTTAATAATAAAATTTGCCGATATACTCTACTAACAATTATTGATAATTTTTTAAAGATTTTTTTTTATCTTACGTAAGCATTATCTAAAGGAGGAAAACCGGTAAATGGGCGGGGGTGGGTGGGGGGTAAATGTTATGTCTTAATCTATTTCTATTCTCTTTCTCTTTTTACATGAAGCTTGTCAAATAACATCAGTATACCCATCATACTGTAAAATCTTTCATTTTAAAACCCGACCAGAGGTATGTAAATAATAGATGTCATGTGTACATTAATTAATAGGCCGTAGGACTTTGAGGCATTTGACTTTACATTGTATTCAATGTACCGGTAGATCGATTTTTACACTGGCATTCAGCTATATTACGAAAAAATGAAATATCTGGGATGAAATAAAAACTTCTCTATTTATAAAACAAATAATTATTCATGATTTACTTCTAAGCCCTTCTTACATGATATTCATGAAAAAGACTTCAAAATCAGTTCTGTTTATTTTACCGTTTACGACTAGAAATTCAGATTTACACATAAAAAAAAGAAATCCGCTGACATATAAACTGTACCCATAAATATTTACAGACCCATTTTATTTAGAAAAAAATAATAAAACCCAGTTGTAGTTTTCAGGTGTCATCAAGCCGTGAACTCAACATGTACATATATCAAAACAGGTTTTCAGTTGCCATGCACTCGGGGTCCGTGATCGCTTTGTAAAAGACCTTGATCACAGTTGAAAGTCGGAAAGAAGATTCCAATACATTTTTAAGGGGTGTTAATCTGCGCACACATTTAACAAAAGATTTAAAAGAAAAATAAAATTAAGCATTTATTTAACCTAACATTAGATTAAAAGTTACAAAAAAAATGAAAGACTGTACTAATAATTTGATTTACCCCCCCCCCCCTTTCTAAACATGTGGCCGTCAGTGCATGTAAATTAATAAACAAATTATAAATCCATTTATTTGAAAATAATGAGCAACGAGTATTATGTACTAAAAAGTATTAAATGACACATCATTTCAATCTTTCTTTCATGTACAGTAAAACTCATTTAGTACGAACACGGATATAGCGAATTTATGGATATAGCGAAGTCATTTTGAATCCCAAACTATATAAATTTAATGAATTTCTTATACGGTTATAACAAATTACGGATATAGCGAAGTGATTTCATAGGTCCAAGCGACTTCGTTATAACCGAGTTTTACTGTACTTCAAATGTAAAGACAAGAGCGGAGCCCTGATACATTTTTGCTTTAAAGCCATATATGGCGTAACTGATCAAAAAATATATTTTTAAAAATACAAAATTAAGTAAAGAAATATAGTTAATACATCTAAATTAAAGCTTTTCATACAATTCTGAACACGGAGAACACCTCGTTTCACCAAATAATACAATTATATCTTCTCTATAATGTGTTGTTTAAATCTTTTGTATTTTCTTCCGAGCCAGAGAAAATTCTGAGAATCCAAATTAAATTGTGATATCTTTATAACGCAAATGACTTAGATTTTGTAATTTACGAAAAAGTTCTATCTTTATATAAAGTAATCATACAAATAATAAGTTCTTATAATTTTAGTCTAATAATTTTCATTGTACATACGCCATATACATGATATATGGCTTTAAATAAAAAAAAATAATGATACCAGTACTTCTTTCTTTCTTTGAAAAAAAATACTTAAGAAGCCATTATCGCCTTGATAGTAAATTGAATATTTCAATGTCCTTAAAATTGTTGTACAGAATTGATAAATTTTAACACATTTTCTTTAAAAGGAAAAGAAAAAACAAATAAATATTATACATGTACATTACCGTGTAATTTCATTTTGATGTTCCATTTTTTAAAACTCCTTTTTATTACTCCTAAAATATCACAAGCATATCTAATTCAATAATCAAATACTAATACAATTTGACATCCTGACCCATCAATAGCCATATTTAAAATGAAATGACTTCCGAATGAACCTTACACGATTCTCGCACGAAAATCACATTTCTCACACGGTTCTTACAAGAAAGTCGCACGTTTCTCACATGTTTCTCGCACGCTCGCTACACGGTTTGCACGAAACGCTTTGGAGCTTACACGAAACGCTGCATGGTTTAAACGAAACGCTACACAGTTTGCACGAAACGCTGCACGGTTTGCACGAAACGCTACACGGTTTGCACGAAACGGAAAGCGCACGAAAGTTACACACTTTTTTGGGGTAGTAGCACGTCTCAGGGTCTGTACATTTAAGTTTTAAAATTTGATCATTTTTTATATCTTTATACTGAGCTCTTCTTTTAAAGAAGACAGAAATAGTCTGAAAATGGCCGCTACCCCCCCCCCCCCCCCAGCCTCGTTAAGTGTCTTTTTGAGTGATATCTCCGAGTAACTGAGTAACTTACTTCAGTGCTGATACTGACTCACTGCAGATCTCTGACGAATTGTTCTTCAGTTTATTGGCAGCCTTAATCCTCATTCTTTCTTCCGCCCGCTTCCGTTTATAGGCGGCCCTAGTCTTCTTTCCTGTCTCCGCCCTATTAGCTTTAACGGCCCTATTGTGCTCTTCCCATTCTTCTGCAGACTTTTTATTCCATTCCTATTAAAATCAATTGAGTATAATAAATCCTTATAATAAAGCCAACATGCTTAATAATGAATGGATGCTTACAACAAAGTGATTTTTATTCCTTCAGGTTTTGAAACATGCCGTTAAAAAAGGACGGGGAATGGGAAAAGTATTATAGTATTGATTATCAGTGATAATCGGACTGGCTTAATCAATCAATAATCTTTTTTACTTAAATGAAACTAGAGGTACTGAGCAATGAGCTCACTAAATAGTACCCCCGCTTTCCATAGTGTCCATGTGTTGCTATTGCTTTACGGTAAAGTGTAAAGAGGAATAACTCTGTCATATCAAATTTTATCCATAAGCTTCTATATATTAAACTTCATAGGATATAACTAGAGGTACTGTGAGCAATGAGCTCACTAAATGATACCCTCCGCCTCCCATATGATTATAATGGCAAAGTCCATGTTTTGTGGTGGCCGGGAAACCCAAAATATTTGTCGGATCAAAAAATAAAATAGGAGGTGCACAATGGCAATAAGTAATAAAGATTCTGTGAAAGTTTCATTAAATTTCACTCAGTGGTTTAAGAGGAGTTGAGGATAAGAGATGGGTACCCCAAAGCGTAACAGACGGACGGACGGACGTACAGACAGACGGACGGACGGACGGAATTAACGATTACTATATACCCTCCCGCTTTTCAAGCGGGGGGTATAAATATAGAATATGATGGCAATGTAACGTTTTGCTATGGGAAACCTAAAATAAGTGTCGAATAAAAAAGTAAAATAGGAGGTGCACAATAGCAATATGTAATAAAGATTCTGTGAAAGTTTCATTAAATTTCACTCAGTAGTATAAGAGGAGTTGCGGATAAGAGATAAAGCATAACAGACGGATGGACGGACAGATGGAAGGACGGATATACCGATTACTATATATCCTCCCACTTTTCAAGCGGGGGGTGTCGTAAAAGGCGACTAAATGGGGCGGTCCTTCAGATGAGACCGTATAAACCGAGGTCCCGTGTCACAGCAGGTGTGGCACGATAAAGATCCCTCCCTGCTCAATGGCCCTGAGTGCCGAGCACAGGCCCAAATTTGCAGCCCTTCACCGGCAATGGTGACGTCTCCATATCAGTGAAATATTCTGGAGAGGGACGTTAAACAGTATACAATCAATCAATCAATCAAGCGGGGAGTTATAATAAATATAGAAAAGTTAAACTTCTGCAGATCTCTGTTCCACTTTTACAAAAACAAGCAAGAAATATTCTATTCCAAGAATATTGATTAATTTTTCTTAAATGTTTGTCGTTCTATAGTAAAACCTCGCAATATTGTCAAGCTATTAGTCTGACTCCATATTTAAAATATCAACAAGGCATGGACTTCTAATTACGGGGAAATCATAAGAGTAAACAGCCCTGCGTTTTATCCATAGCTCTCCATGCAATATGTGTGTTCTTGCTAACAAAGTTTCACTTATAAACTTACCCTTTTATCAATTGATCTCTGGAGCGTGCAATGTCTATTCAGTGTTTGTACTAACATAGTTTTACTGTAAAAACTTACCATTTTATCCATTGCTCTCTGTGCATTACCTGTGTTCGTGCGAACAGAGTTTTACTATATTTAATTTACCATTTTATCCATAGCTCGGTGTTCATGTGAACAGGGTTTAACTGTATAAACTTTTTTATCCATTGCTCTCCATGCAATATCCATGTTTGTGCTAAAGGAGTTTTACTGTACAGTATAAACTCACCGTTTTATCCATGGCCCTCCACATTGCTCCCACTAGTCGACCAAAACTTCCAAAGTCCAGACCCGGGTGCTGCTTCCTAATCTTTTCTCTGTTAGCATTAATCCACAGCATGTAGGAGCTCTGCGGTCTTTGAAGCTTCAAGAAGAAATTAACAGATTTAGCTTCCAAGAAGAAATAAACAGTGTTATTTAGCTTCCAAGATTGAAATAAACAGAGTTATTTAGCATTGAAGAAGAAATAAACAGTGTTATTTAGCTTCCAAGAAGAAATAAACAGTGTTATTTAGCTTCCAAGAAAAAATAAACAGTGTTATTTAGCTTCAAAGAAGAAACTAACAGTGTTATTTAGCTTCCAAGAAGAAATAAACAGTGTTATTTAACCAACATGGCATTATGAATAGCAATTGTTCCATGATGCAAGCAATGTAAGTTGGTTGAAACTAATCCAATGGTTCTAGAGAAGAAGTTGAAACTATGAAAAGGTTAGACAAATGGACAGACAAACAAAGGTTGAAAGACTCAATCAAACTCGAAGTTCAAATGGAACAAAGTAACTAAAATTGATATTGTTAAAGATCTTTCTAGAGACATCTATACCTTTCTCTTTTGTTTTTGACCACTATTTTCCTGCTGATGTCCAGTCTGTCTCACTGAACCAGAAGAAGTCTGCTTTTCTTTCTTTTTCAAAACACCTGACTTGGGTGAAATTTTCTTTCGTCTTGCACCTGCCTCAGTTGAAATTTTCTTTCGTCCTACATCTGCCTCGGATGAATTTTTTTTTCGTCGTGCACTTGACTTCGGTGAAATTTTCTTTCCTCCTGCATCTGCCTTGGGTGAAATTTGGTGCACTCCTACAGCCGAGGCAGACACAGATTGGAATAACTCAGAATCCTGGGGACAGGCCAGAACTGATTGACTGCTGACCTCCGACGATTTCTTCCTCCGTTTTATTGCAGCCCTCCTCCTCCTTTCCTCCAACTGTTTAGCTCTGGACTCGTTCAACTTTTTTTTTTCCTCTGCGAACTTTTTATTCCATTCCTATCAAAATCAAATGAGTTCAGTATATCACTTTTAGAGCCAGCATGCTTATTATTAACTTGTTTCACAGGTTTGCTGACATTAATAATGATAATTAAAACTGGGTTTGCAATTTATTAGGGCTGGATCAATATATCGGTAATCGGTATATATCGATATTTTTTAGCAATACGATAACCGATACAGAGATGGTTGCGTATTGCTCGATTATTTCAACGTTTAATTAAGAGAAAGAAAAACGTGAAAGTGACTAATATTACGAACGACTTATCTAAAGTCGGTTAAACGCATGTAAACATGTCAAAAGTGTAGGGTCGCTACGTAAAAGTCGGCAGCAAAAAGGCAAAATATAATTATATTTGTCAACAAGAAGTCGCAAGTTCTGGTGGAACAACGAGCCTATATATTATTACCCATCTCAGACGGCATCGCAACATTGACCTGTTTGCTACTGTGAAACTTGGAGGCAATTCCGGTAGGTCAAATGGCGCGTCGAAAAAAAAGTCATGGAATGTAAACCGATTATAAGATGTCAATCAGAATTTTTAAGTCATAGTTTATTTTAACTCAAAGCAATTTGGTAAAATATTTCATATGCCATTACTAAATACTTCAACGAATACGACGTCAAGTGAAGTATCAACACAGTCAAACAGGTCAATGTTGTGATGTCGTCTGTGGCTTCAGAACGAGTATTTAGCACCAGTGGCAACATATTTTGCATGTACAGGGGCTTGTCTAAAACCTAAGTGGATCGATGCCTTGATTTTTCTGAAGAAAAATATGGGCAACTAACATAAATCTGTCATACACTAGTCCATTCCAAGAGAATAAATAAAAAACAAGAATTTAAATTGTTTAATTGTTGTAAATTTATGCTTTAATCAAAAAACACTATCACCTCTTTAAAAAAAAAAACATGCAAAAAATAGTGTATTCTCATTTGTCTGTATCGGCAATATGTATCGCATATCGCACCTCTGTATTGCAATATGTATCGTATCGAAAAAATTCTTTCAATACCCAGCCCTACAATTTATTAGCTGCAGATCTGTAGAGTTATGGTTTTATATTTTGTCTTTGACCATAATGCTGCAGATCCTGTAATGCAAAAAAGGTGCAATTTATGGCGCAATATTTTTTGCACACTTTTAGGGAGAATTTTACTTTCAAGCATTTGTCAATCAACTACTTTTCATGGTACTGTATAAATTGAACGGTCTATCCGTAAGTCTCAATGCAATATCGGTGTTCATGCTAACAGAGTTTTACTGTATAAATTTAATGGTCTATCTATAGCTCTCAATGCAATATCCGTATTCATGCTAGCAGAGTTTTACTGTATAAATTTAATGGTCTATCCATAAGTCTCAATGCAATATCCGTGTTCATGCTAACAGAGTTTTACTGTATAAATTTAATGGTCTATCCATAGCTCTCAATGCAATATCCGTATTCATGCTAGCAGAGTTTAACTGTATAAATTTAATGGTCTATCCATAGCTCTCAATGCAATATCCGTATTCATGCTAACAGAGTTTAACTGTATAAATCTCATGGGCTATCCATAGCTCTCAATGCAATATCCGTGTTCATGCTAACGGAGTTTAACTATATAAACTTACAGTTTTATCCATAGCTCTCAATGCAATATCCGTATTCATGCTAGCAGAGTTTAACTGTATAAATTTAATGGTCAGCTAATCGACCAAAACCTTGGAAGTCTAGTTCAGGGTAATGCTTCATAATCTTATCTCTGTTAGTGTTAACCCACAGCATGTATGGGCCCTGTAGTCTTTTACGCTTCTTATTTCGGGATTTCTTTCCACCTGTCTGCTGTCCTCCTTCATCTGCCTCGGGTGAAATTTGTTGTCCTCGTACATATGCCTCGGGTGAAATTTGTTGTCCTCGTACATCTGCCTCGGGTGAAATTTGTTGTCCTCCTTCATCTGCCTCGGGTGAAATTTGGTGTCCTCGTACATATGCCTCGGGTGAAATTTGTTGTCCTCGTACATCTGACTCGGGTGAAATTTGTTGTCCTCGTACATCTGCCTCGGGTGAAATTTGTTGTCCTCCTTCATCTGCCTCGGGTGAAATTTGGTGTACTCCTACAGCCGAGACAGACACTGGTTGGAATAACTCAGGATCCTGAGAATGGACTACAACAGAGTTTGGAGTGTTCTCCCTTTTTATGTTCCATGTACTTCCTCTTTGCCCTGAGGTCAAAAGGTCATTCTGTGGAACTACATTATTTATGCAATGTGCAGAGTTCAATCCAAGAGGTTGTGACCTTTGAACTTGACTTGCTTCTACTGTACCAAAGTTTGTTAGCATTGCTGCAATTAATGGTTTTTGAGCCACGTTGATTCTAGTCTCTTTGTTTGCAGCTTTTTGCCCTATCACTTCAGGAATACCCACAGCGTTCGCAAAATGAGTTGAGGAACTTTCATAAACATTTGGAGACGTAAATGCACTTCTCATAATGAGGTCATTTGTCCCTGTATTATTCACTGTAAAGTTATCAAAAGGTTCTTGTTTCACTCCTGTGGGTTTGTATAAAGAACTGGAGGTCATATTTGTCACTGTAGAATTCTCTGTATTTGAGTAATTTTCAGCAGAGTTTGGATTTACTACTGTAGATGCTTGGAAAGGGTTAGCTCCCCATGAAATCGCTGCTTCCTGGTTTCTATGAGAGACGCTGTTATCTGCTTGCTGGGTGGATCCAGGATTTGGTGGGGCGTTATCCATGGAGTATACGGGTTCATCTTTTAATGCAATTTCCTTGAGTGAAAAATTAAGAAAATTATTTTAATGCTAGTAAATAATACATTTGATATATATATATATATTTTTAAAAAATCTTTCCGTTGAGAATGCATCAATTCATTTATGATGCCTTGGGAAAAAAGTGAGAAAAATACTTATTACAAACACTTTGAGTAAAAGAAGCCCATGGGCCTCATTGCTCACTTGAGCACTCTGGCTAGAACATGTAGAAAGCAGAAATAAGTTCAGTATTGAAAAGTTAAAAGTCATATATATTTAGTGGTCCCCACGTAACTTGAAAGGGTAGGAGGTGGGGTATAAATTGAAAAAATATAAATCTACAATAAGTCTCTTGTGACCCCGACCTACCCTTGGGGGTCATGATTTAAACAAATTTAAATCTACACTACTTCTGGATGTTTTCACATACGAGGGTGTTGGATTATAATTATCCTCAATTATAACAACTTTAAATTTTTCTATCATATAAATTTTAATAAAATTGTCCATTCCTCCATAAAGTATAACAGATATATCAAGAGACTGACCTCTCCCATCTCAAGGTCACTGACCTCTCCCATCTCAAGGTCACTCTCATCACTGGAGTCCTCATCAACAGAATCAGCCTCTTCAACTGTCAAAAGGAAACAAGTCCAGTCATGTCGAGCAGTATCAAAACTATGGCCAGAGAAGTAAATCATTAACTATGACAGAGATTTTTCAACAATGAATGCCTCTCATGATTAATTAGACCCATGAAACAATAAGCTTTCTTCATACATTGACCTTCTTTCAGTGGAGCAGGAGCATGTCAGATGTCAAATTCAATTAACCAATCAAATCATTGCCTGCAAAAATATCATAATGGTATATTTGTTGAAGCAAATACGCCTAGTCAGAGCTTAATACCCGATTTTGACCTCTGATGTGGCCCACTATGGGATGTTAGATTTTAGTGTAGTGAGTGTGCGAGTCGGTCTAACACATAATTTTAATTTAGATTGCAAACTACTATGACTGAATTGGTAATTGAAAGAAAGAGTAATCAGTCACGACAGGCTGGGGTTCTAGAATGGATGTTTTACATAAAGTTAGAACAAATGGTATAAAAAAAACTTACCCTCATACTGCAGAGAAATGTCCTCCTCCTCTTCTTTCAATTCTAATATCGGAACCTCACCTGAAATTTTTAAAAAATATCAAAAGATTTTTCCCATCTCATAGCTTTTATTCATTAAGAGCAAAATGCCTTTTTATCTTTGTAACCCTTAGGTATACATTGTTTTTAAATTTCCTTATAAAACTAGTCATGGGAACAGTTAATCCCTTTTTTTTTTTAGCTCATTCAACTTTTATTTCAAACATGATAGAAAGCCTTTGTCACAGGCCTTTATTATAGAATAACACAAAATGTGAACCAACGATTACTTGCGAGATCTCTCATTTGCGATTCATCAGTTAATCCAGGATTATTAATATTCTTATGATAATGACATCGACATTCTACATAAATACATAGTAGGCGAGTAATTAGATGGCGACAAGAAATACTTACGATTAAAAGAAAGTCTCACCACATCTGGATATACCTTGCTCGTAAATAAAAAATGGCTTACAGTACGTGACAGAAGATGTCCACTCTTTGAGTTATGACAATTTTATTTATTGCAATTCCAATTCCAATTTTTTTTTATGTTAGCTTTTCCGTAACTTTCAAAAACCTACCGGTCTGTTGCAAAAAATGCAAAAGCCAAAAATAAAACACAATTTCAGGACTCTAGTTTTCTTTGGTTTTTTTCTCATATGGGTTGTCAAAGAACACACACGGACAAAGATCAGTTGATAAATCTTGGAATGGCCTTACCTGACTTCCTTGTTCTCTTCATGAGTTCAGAGTTCTGTGTGTCAGGTGGTCTATAAGTATACAGATCGTACATTTTTAGTTATATCAGTTAAGTGTGAAGTTCTGCCTTTTGTCACGATCTTTTTTCAAATTGACAGATGCATCCAGCATAAACAATTCACATCCCATGTATGTGATTGGTCAACTCATATTATCAATATTGAAACAGAAACTTTCTGCTGCATGAGCAACAAATCAGGGATAAGAAGAAATTCCAGTCGTAAAGTTTTTTTCTCATTTGCAGTTTTCCTTAAAATCTATTTGTCAATCCCTGGCCTGGGGGCCATAAAACTTAGACGAGCTCTTTTTTCCTCTCAGTCTCACTTTAACAAAAGGAATGTATATTGATAAAGTGAGACTGAGATCAAAAGTGAGCTTGTCTAAGCTTTATGGCCCCAGGCCTGGTTGATTTTGACTGTTTGCTCCGAGTACAGCAAACAATTTATTATCAGCCTTATTTAATTTCATTATAAATTACAGTACTGTTCAGGTCAGAAAACCCAAAGCATCTAATTTCAGCCTCTAGCATTCATTTAGCATTAGTTGTGTGTTAGAAGAGTGTCCATCTACTCACCTTACCAGAGGACATATGCCCTTGCTCATACAATGAACTTCATGCACCTGAATCAAATGTTGGGCTATCTCACTGTCATGGAGCCAGTCAAATCGTCCAATCAGCTGCTTCCAGGCATTCGCTGCTGCTCCAAACAAAACATTTCTATATTTGTTCCTTCTAGTTGTATCTGTCTTATTATCACTACAAGATTCCTGCTGACCAAGATCAGTCTCAATAGGGGTACATGTATCTCTCTCATTATCACAATTTTCACAAGAGTCTTGGTGACCAGGATCAGTCTCGTAAGGGGGATCTCTCTCAACACTAATTACAAAATAGTCTTGGCAATCAGGATATGGTGACCTGTGAGCTGATTGGTCAGTTTCACAACCAATGACTGTTGGTGTAACAGAAGCCTCCCATGATTGGTTGTCCAGTCTTGGGATGTTGCTCGCCCTTATATTACTATTACTGTACCTCTTACTTAGGCTAGCTTCTATGCTCAGGTTCATCATTAGTGCAGACAGTGCATTTTTACCCAGTGCTGAATTTTTATACCAAACAGCATCAGAGTGGTAGCATATTTTTCTGGGTCGCTGCCAAAAGAATGGGTTTTCTGGGCTCAATTTCATCAAATATTTCTTCAAAGACGCCACTGGGCACATGGGATCACCTGAAAAAAACCAAGGGAACATTATCATGTTACTAAAAATAGCATGTTACTAAAAATAGAAATGATATCATGCTACTAAAAATAGAGACTTCCATAATCATAAAATACTTCTTGATCATATTGATAATGAAGTTCAACTGTATTATCATATATTGAAAGTCTTCACAGAAACTCACTGGTGCAAAGACCAAAGTCAATGATTTTGATGTCAGGTGAAAATCAGAGGTTGCGCTCTATATTAAATATCAAAAAAAGCTTAAAAAATTGGCCGTTTTTGTAACCAAAAATTTAAGTGATATTTTATGCATTGTTAAGTAAAACTATGCAGTTTCAGTTTTTCAGAAATTCACAGGGCCAAATAAGGCAAACGTGAACCTTGTTCTTTAATTAATATATGTGAACTAACTAGTTACTGTTAACTTGTACGTAAAATACACGAGTATCCTCGAACAACTTACCGAAACACAACAAACAGCAAAAAAACACAGCATTTCTGTTTTAAAATTGATGTACTAACACATAGAAGCATGTTTTAATTTATAATTGTGTAGTCATTGCTTTAAATTAAGGGGGCCAGTAAAATTTTTGGTGGGCTGGTAAATTTTGAAAGTTCACTGGTCTGACTGGCAAGTAAATTTGAAAAGTTTTCATAAAGACTGTATTAAACCTGCACCCACCAGGTCGCTCGTACATTCTGACTGGCTGCATCAGTATTTTCCCGGGTTTATCATTCTTCTCTCTAACGGTCACATATTCCCTGCCCGAGGCATCCCTGTGGAACGCGAAATCCTCTTTTTGTATGCACCTTAAGTGTTTCAGGCCTCTGTGACAGAAATAGTAAATATACTCAAACAAAGTCTTTTGTTGGAGCATTCTCGGGGAATCTGTCGAGAACACCGTGTTGTAGAGTTTGTCTACATCATCAGGTTCAATAGCCTGAATAGGAACTTTCTCTTTAGGATTTCTCATCTCTCTCTTTCTCGATTGACTTACGATCTTTTCATACATTTTATTGGAAGTGGAATATTTTTCGTCTTGGATAATATCTTCGTTTCTAAGTCTCAGGAAATGTTTTTGCAGACAGGATCGGATAGAACTCACGGTTCCGTCAGCATAATGTTGCCCGCCCACTCTCTTCATCTCCGTGTAGAATCTTGTCAACAAACCGTCAAGTTCTTCTGAAGAGTAAGTCGTCTCCACGGTCGGGTGTACGTCTTTTTCCAGAAGAAAGGCGCGGAATAGTGAGAGCGGTGTGCCAACACGCCCCGGAATGTGAAGCGTCGGGTCAGTGCCGTCTCCGATCATTTCCTGTAACACATCTTCTCCTGTCATTTCGTCTTCTCCAAGAATAGCAGCCATGTTGGTCGCGGTCTGCTGGGTTTCATGTCAATTCGTCTCCTAACAAAATTGATTGGTAAACTTCTCCCCATTCATGCATTATTCATCTCAAAATGTTACCTAAACTTTATTTTTCTTGGGGAAAAATGGATTTTAAAAGTAAAAAATAATATTAGAATGCTTAAATTAAATTTATTCAATTGAAGAGAGTGATGTGTAAGACCTAACTGTTGAGGGTCTAAACGGTGTAGAAGCCGTAATATTTTATTAGCTAAGTCGTACAATAAACAGGATAATTGTAATCAAAGTACTGAAAGTACTGGGAAGCGCTAAGCACATTGATTTGAAATTCATCAGAATTATTTTGACTTGAATTTTCCTGTTTTATTGAATTTTAAGCAATATCTTGACAGTACTACACTGCTAGTCTGAGTACAGTTGTTTGATACATATGTGAGTCCTGAAAACTCCCCATTGAGGTCTTTCTAAAAAAAAAAATGTTTGGAATTGCTGCCTAAAGGGTTCAGACAAAGGAGGGAGGGAGGGAAATTATCATTTTTTTAAATTGAAGGAAATTTTTCAATTTTTGATAAAAATCTCAGTAAACAGTACATATAAAGGTATCTACCATCAACCAAAAAACCCTTATTTTTTCTTATATCCGACACTGTATTTCAGTGTTTTTTAATTAGCCCCTTCACGATAACTGCGGTACTACACTTTTGCAGGGCAAAATAATAATGTTTGGCGGTGTTTTTGTTGATTGATATTACATATTTTAAACAATTACTTAATATGTCATATTTCACCAAAATATATCATTTTGCCCTGCAAAAGAACAGTACCGCAGTTACCGTGAAACGGTCTATGGTGCATATAATACATGTACAGGGCAAAAAACAAATTGATTGAATAAAATAAATAGTCTTCCTACTTTTGGTCAATAAAATTTTTTTTCAGGTGGGGGCATTTCAATGAGGTGGGAGGCAATTCCAAACAAACTATAATTTTATTTTGGCCTGAATTCAACATTGTCTTTTTACATTTTCTTCACCTGTCAAAGGATAAATCAATTTCAAATACCGGTACATGAAATTGCAAGAAAACATTTCTCCATGTAAAAATATTTTCTTTCCCCATCACCTTGTAGAAATCCGTATTAAAGAGGTAACATTTGCGTATAAATTGTAATTAAAAGGAGGGGAGATGGCAATCATGTTTATCAAAGAAATATAGACTCTTATTAGCTAAACATTTGCTGAAAAATGTATATATTGAAATAATTTTGAACACTTGAACACTTGAAAGTGTCACTAAAATTCCTCTCATTTAAGTGCAACATATGACACAGACACAAGTAATTAATAACCAGCAAGTATTTTAGTTTTTATTCAAAAATATGAGACTCAGTAAATAATTTGCTTGACTAATGGGGGAAGCCTTGATTATTTGACTGGTCCTCACATTCTACTTTCATTTTCTCCTTCACTGTTACAAATCTTTTGCTGGTGCCCAGCCCATCACATTTTTTTCTTGGATTATTAGACAGGTTTTTTTCCAGTGTCCTTTTTACATTCTTCTTATATTTTTGGATTTTCCTTACAGTCCTCATCCTTCTTGAATTTTCTTTTTGAGGGTTTGTCTTCACTACCAGATCAAGCTCATCCTGAAAATACTGACGATGATGATGATGATAATGCTGCTGCTGATGATCCTTTGCTCTTATTATTAGTTCTCAGCTCTGCTTGGTTTGATGATCTGGATTTAGTACAGCTCTTTGGAATTTTTCTATTCCTACAATATACAAGTTGAACTTGTGTAAAAATTTCCAGTTTGGGAATAGTATTTATCATATTTTCTGAAGTTTAAGTGGAAATTTTAACAAGATACAATTTATAAAAATTATCGTTAAAAAAGGGAAATTATTTCTGCATTTCTTCAGAGACCAGAGTCCGAAATTAACTCATGTCCGTAAGTCCGAGACTAGTAAAAATTGTGTCGGACTAGCAGATTTTGTAAGGTACTAGTCCGTGTGGGCTAGTGAAAATCTGGTTATAAGTCTTCATTTTATTTCCGAGTCTTTCAGACGTTTGAAAATAAACGAGAAACCAAACCGCGATAAAGTGTTTCCAACTGATGTGTGGACACATATTTCATTGAATAAATTGATAAAAGTTGAAGATTTGTGTTATTCTTTTTACATACTAGTGGGTGGACTAGTGGAATACTTTGCAGAATGCGGACTAGTGAAAGTTCGAAGTCACTAGTCCATGCGGACTAGTGCTAAAAAAAGTTAATTTCGAACCCTGGAGACTTCCCTGATAAACTGTTCTAAATTGAATTCCTTGATTGCTCTTTAGTGACTTCTCTGATTAACTGAGTGTGTTTCTTTAGTGATTTCCCTGAATATTCAACTTTCATTAGTGATTTTACTGACTAACTAACTTTTTTCAGTGATTTTCCTGATGAACTGTTCTTTATTGACTTCCCTGATTAACTGAGTGACCTTCTCTGGGTGGTGATTTCCCTGGTTAACTAACTTGCGTTTTTTTTAGTGATTTTCCTGATCAACTGAGAAGCTTTCTTCAATGTTTTCCCAGAATAACTTTACCTCAGTGATAGCGCCGATTCCCTGCAGATCTTTGACAATTCCTTTTTCTCTTCATCAGCAGCCTCCCTCTGTCTCTCAGCCCTCTGATCTCTCAACTCCTTCATTATCTTTTCATACTCTTTCCTGGATTTTGCGGCCTTCTTCTTCCATTTCTTTTAAAATCAAATGAGTAGTGAATTAAGGTTATAGCCAATGCTTATAATGAATTTTTGCTTACAGTGAATTGATTTTCAATCATCGAGGCCTTGAAATATATCATGAATTTTACAGATATAATTGCTTGTTTGTAAAGAAGCAATATTTTCTATTTTTAGAATTACATACTGTAGACGTACTTTTTTCCACAGAGTCATAATTCCACAGAATCTCAATTTCTGTTTATTCCGTGGGTTGAAAAAAACCCGCAGATTTTCTAAACTGGAGGGGGGGGAACTTGCCCCCCCCCTTTTTTTGCAAATACATACATAATATGGTCATTGAAAATTGGAGTTTTAACTTTTTCTGTTGGTTTAGGCCCCCTCCGCTTTCAATTAGACCCCTTTTCAATTTGCTTCCAATGCCTATGAACTTACTGTTTTGTCTTCCAGGGCATTCCACATTTCTCCAGCTTTTCTGCTAAACTCTATAGTGCCCAGTCCCGGGTTCTGCTTCCTTATTTTCTTCCTGTGGGCATTCAGCCACAGCATGAAGGAACTGGGGGGTCTGTCAGGGGGGTCACTGTACACTGTGGATTGGGATTTCTTGGAACTAGGCAGATCTTTCTGAAATTATGTGTACATAAGTACATGTACATGTATATTCATCTAAAGCCTATACAACATTTTTTATGTTTTTTGTAAAAGGTCTTCTCATATCTTTACCTTTTTTATTTGTTTTTGACATTTATTCACCCGCTGACGTCCATTTTGTGAAGCTTGCTTTCCTGCCTTAACCAGTAAATCACCTGTGGAGAGTGAAGTCTGCTTTCCCTCTGTTACTAATGGCACACCTAATATTAATGCAGGTGAAATTTTCTTTCCTGCTTCACCTAAGGCACCTGATGTCTGCCCTCCTCCTGGTAATAGTGTCCCACTAGAATCAAGTGAATCCTGTAGTTCTTCTGTTTTCTTTGTCACACCTGAAGCAGGTAAACTTTGTTGTCCTCCTACACCTGAGGCAGGTGACACCCATTGTCCTCGTACGACCGAAGCCAGAGAAATTTTTTGTCCTCCTATTATAATTGTCTCATCAGATGAAGCCTGCCTTTCTTGTTTTATCAATATCTCACGTGAAGCAGGTGGAATCTCTTGATTTGCTTCTCCTGTATCCGAGTTAAGAGTCTGTTTTGTTAACAGTGTGGAGTGCAGTGGGGCTTGAGCCACATTAGTCCATGTGTCTACAGCTTGATCTCCTATTTCTTCAGTCTTTATGTCTGCTGTTTGGTGCCAAATTACTTCAGGAGTATCCAATGTATTCTGAACATGAGTTGATAAGCTTTCACAAATATTTGAGGAGGGAGAGGAACTTCTCATAACTGGTTCAACTGTCTCAGACTGAGGCAAATTCAGGACTTCAGAAAATGCTCGTGTGGAAGGTGAACTGGAATTCACATTTGTCACTGTAGAATTCCCTGTATTTGAGTAACTTTCAGCAGGTTCTTGATTTACTACTGATGATGCTTGGAAAGGGTTATCTCCCCATGAAATCACTGCTTCTTGGTTTGAATTAGAGACTCTGTTCTCCGCTTGCTGGGTAGATCCAGGATTTTGTGGGGCATTGTCCATGGAGAATAAAGCTTCTCTAATTTCCTAGGGTGAAAATTAATTATTTTAAAACTAATACAGTCCAACTCGGTCATAATGAAGTCACTGGGACCTAGGAAATAACTCTCTAATTAAATTTTCACTATACGAAAATGCTTACATGTTAATATATTTACATTTCCAATAAATATCCCCTATGATTCTTTACAAAATAAAATGCAGTATATTTTCTCGTGAACTACATTAGGTATGTATCACGAATAAGCATGAATATATCCATTGTTACGTCATAATACCGCTCTTGACGTCAAAAATATAGTGCACACTGTTTTGTTTTAAAAATGACAGTTGAACGGCGTGAATTTATGGAAAGTCATCCGAAAAATAATGTAAATATAAGAAATGAATTTAATTTTTTGAAGATTCATGAGGTATATGAACTACAACGCTTCATGCCGGCATATTTATCATGAAGCGCTAACGCGCTTCATGAAATATGCTGGCGTGAAGCGTCGTAGTTCATAACATCATGAATCTTCAAAAATTAAATTAATTCCTTAAATGACTTATTAATAAAATATTATTCATCATGGCTTTCTTGATTTTGAGAAAAATTATTTTAAAGATGTACAATTCAATGTAAAACTTTGACCCCCATTATGTCTCCACCCTATACCTGGGGGATAATTGGTACAAGTCTGTATAAACAAGAGAAGACCTTATCAAAAGTCAATTAATATCTATATTTACCTCCAAACTGGCTACCTCTTCATCCTCCAGGTCAGGGTCACTGTCATCACTGGAGTCATCATCAATAGAATCAGCATCTTCATCAACGGAATCAGTGTCTTCATCAACTGTCAAAAGAAAACATGTCAAGGTCAACATCAATTGTCAAAAGAAAACATGTCAGTGTCTTCATCAACTGTCAAAAGAAAACATGTCAGTGTCTTCATCAACTGTCAAAAGAAAACATGTCAAGGTCATCATCAACAGAATCAGTGTCTTCATCAACTGTCAATAGAAAACATGTCAAGGTCATTATCAACTGTCAAAAGAAAACATGTCAAGGTCAACATAAACTGTCAAAAGGAAACATTCTTGTCAAACACTGAATGCAGATAGAGAGATATTCATTTGGTTTAATACATATATGTTGTTATAAAGCATTGTCAAATCTTTGACCAAAGACATGTAATACAGGGTGGTCCTTAAGAATTGAAATAGAAGGGGACATTTCAAAAATTAGAAGAGGATCTGGTATTCTACCCGTAATAGAAAGTTTAAGCATAATACCAAATTAACATCATTAGAGGCAGGGAATTAAATCTAGCCCCTGGGCATCGGGACAATCTCGCAATATCAGCAATGACTGGGACTTTTCAAAACAAATTTCTCTTGTGGTAATTTTAGGTCCAAGAAACAATGTTTTTTTCATACAGAAACCTAGCTGACCCAGTTTACATTGACCTTTGTTTACACTGACCTAGTTTACATTGACCATTGTTTACAATGACCTAGTTTATATTGACCTTGTTTACAATGACCTTATTTACATTGACCTATTTTATATTGACCTTGTTTACACTGACCTATTTTATACTGACCTTGTTTACAATGGCCTAGTTTACACTGACCTTGTTTAAAATGACCTTATTTACATTGACCTATTTTATATTGACCTTGTTTACACTGACCTATTTTATATTGACCTTGTTTACACTGGCCTATTTTATATTGACCTTGTTTACACTGGCCTATTTTATATTGACCTTGTTTACACTGGCCTGGTTTACATTGACCTTGTTTACATTGACCTATTTTATATTGACCTGGTTTACACAGACCTTGTTTACACTGACCTAGTTTACATTGACCTTGTTTACATTGACCTATTTTATATTGACCTTGTTTACACTGATCTAGTTTCAGAATAGAAGAAGAACTCCCAGAACCCTGCAGTTGAATACATTTCAATTCTTTTATCATTATAGAGGGTCCATTTATACACATTCCATTCATTCTCAAGTAATCAAAAAAACCGATACACAGAATTATGTATCTTAGTGTAATGTACTTGTGTGTTAAGTTTTATTGAAATCAGACCAAAAAATGTAGGAGGAGTAGCATTTTGAATGATTTTCAGAAAAATATCTATTTTTAGTAACCACGACAATACCGTTCATCGAAATCCAAAACTTGTAAAAAGAATTATGTATCTTAGTGTAGTCTACTTGTGTGCCAAGTTATATTGAAATCAAATTAAAACTGTAGGAAGAGTAGCTAGACAGCTAGATGGAGATGGACACCGAATGCATTACTATCGCATAAGCTCTTCTGGTCTCTGACCAGTAGAGCTAAAAAAGGTACTTAAAGATGCTGGTATTGGAATTACAAAGTAATTTAAAGAAAGCAAGAAAAGAAGAGCAATCAAGTGTGGGAATCTGATATTCTACTGCAGCTGATATTTTCACATGAAAAACAATGTATACATGTAGAAACCCTCATTCCACTTTTACCTTCTGATTGAAATGGAATGTCTTCTGTTTCTTCCGATTCTCTTGTTGGAATCCCATCTGAAATATTGTAAGTTATACTTTTTTTTGATTGCTTTTATCACAGGCCTTTGGATCGCTTAAAAAAATTTGTGTGTGTAAAAAAAAAATAAAGGTACTGAACTCTTACACTGGGTACCTAATTTCGCTAATAAAATATTTTTTATTCGAATGCTCTAAAATTCTACTTTCTATTTAAATCTATTCATAGATAAACATTCTTCAATTCTACCAAAGCTCATTCCGAAACTCCATGTATTTCTTGAGATATTCTGAAATCAATTTCAAAAATGACCTACTTTCTTTTACTCGACATTAGCTTGGGCCCCTGGCCATTCACATGTGAACAGACGGTGTTTGAAGTGCGGCGAAGAGTTGCATAGTATTTGCAAAATCTTTCAACAATTTAAAGTTGATTTCTTACTCCAGATTGTAACGTTAAGTCCGTAATAATATTCCTTTCGCGAAAAATTAATTTGAAAACATCTACATCAACAACTACCGCCATGTTGATTATGAATGTAAATGAAGCCATGGTAGAACGAATTTTTTCCCGGAATGCATTATATACCTTTCGATTTTCAAAACAATTAGACTGCTAAAATGTTGTTTATGACTTAGTTACACCATATGATCAAATTAAAGAAAAACCTTGTAAAGCTTGAATGCAAATGAGCAAATATTCATTGAGTTTAGAATAAATTCCGGGGAAAATTTGTCCCGTCGTTCCCGCTTTACAATTAGTGAAGGCCCAAGCTGATGTCGAGTAAAAAAATTATTGTCTATTTGGGAATTGATTTCAGAATATCTCGAGAAGTATAAGGAATTATGGAATGAACTTTGGTAGTAATGAAGATTGTTTATATTTGAATAGATATGGATAGAAAGTAAAATTTTAAAGCATTTGATTTAAAAGAATTTTATTGGCGAAAGTAGGTACCCCATGAAAAGAGTTCCATACCTTTATTTTTTTTTTTCTAACACCTCAATTTTTTTTTCTAAGCGATCTAAAGTCCTGTGGCTTTCATTCATAAAGAAAAAAAAATGCCAGTTAAATTTTGAACTTTTCAGTAATTAGTATACTGGAATTTCAATTTTCTTACAAAACTGGTCATTTATCGTTTCAGACCTGATTTGATTGATTGCTTACCTGAGCTCCTTGTTCCGTGGATGGGACTCGCGTTCCGTGCCTCAGGTGTTCTATAAGTAAACAGATACAGATACATTAAGCTGACATAATAGTTGTGGAAGGAAGGAGGTAATTTCTTACAATTCATCAACTTCTGTGGCACAATGGTATTTAATCTTATAATCTTGTAGATTATTTTTTAATTATAATTTAAAAAGAAAAACTATAGATTTGAGCATTTTTGAAACTGGATAAATATGTTAATAAAAGGCATTGAATTGTGGGGAATAAAAATGAACTCTGAAAAATGAAATTTTTGCGAAGTTTGCAAGAGCCTCATCATCGCAAACCGGTCCTTAAAGTGCAAGTGTCTATTAACAACTTACAGATTCAAAAAGGATAAATCGCAAATAAATCGTGGCAATCTAGTTTATCCCTGTTAAATTGCAAAATAAAGTGGTGGTGAATAAAAGTTAGTTTACAGTATATTTTTGTATCAAGTCCTCTTACCAAATTTTTCAAGGTGGGTAACTATAGAAAAAGGTAAGTAATTTATTATAACCAATTTTTTTGGTTGCTTTACAGAATTGAGCAAATTTTTAACAAAATCACAAATGGAGATTAAAGGTGAAAAAATAAAATTTCAAAGAGCTGAATAAAATGATAGGGTTGGCCGATTTTGATTGGTTACTCTGAATACAGCAAACAATTTACTGTTGGCCTAATTTAATTTCATTATAAAATACAGTACTGGTCTGGTCAGCATTTGGTCAGTAAAATTAAAACAACTAATTTGAGCCTCTAGCATTCATTGAGCAATAGTTGTGTGTTAGAAGAGTGTCCATCTACATACCTCTCCAGAGGACAGACGCCCTTCCTCATACAATGAACTTCATGCACCTCAATCAAATGTTGGGCTATCTCACTGTCATGGAGCCAGTCAAATCGTCCAATCAGCTGCTTCCAGGCATTTGCTGCTTCTCCAAACAAAATATTTCTATATTCGTTCCTTATGGAAGTATCTGTTTTATCATCACTACAAGACTCCTGCTGACCAAGATCAGTCTTAATAGGGGTACATGTATCTCTCTCATTATCACAATTTTTACAAGAGTCTTGGTGACCATGATCAGTCTCAGTAGGGGAATCTCTCTCAACACTGATTACAAAATAGTCTTGACAATCAGGATATAGTGACCTGTGAGCTGATTGGTCAGTTTCACTGCCGATGGTTGCTGATATTTCACAGGCCTCAATTGATTGGTCAGTTTCACAGCCAATGGTTGCTGATATTTCACAGGCCTCAATTGATTGGTCAGTTTCACAGCCAATGGTTGCTGATATTTGGCAGGCCTCCTCTGGTTGGTTGTTGAGTATCTGTATGTTGGTGGCCCTTATATTACTGTTGCAATATATTTTACTAAGGTTACTTTCTACACTCAGATTCTTCATTAGAGCCCACAATGAAACCTTTCCCGTTGATTTTTTATCCCATCGTATTGTCTCAGCTTCATACCATACGACATCAGAGTGGTTGTATTTTGTTTTGGGTCGCTGCCAAAAGAATGGGTTTTCTGGGCTCAGTTTCATCAAATATTTCTTCAAAGATGCCACTGGGCACATGGGATCACCTGAAACATAGGTAATCAGAGAATACAAAGGCTACAAAGCTCACGAATGTTGTCTTAAGTAAGGCAGAGTCATACAATTAACCAACAAAGAGTGTACATCCAAAAATGCAAAATTTATGCTATTTTGATCTGATACTTTGGGATAAACCTATATAAAAATTTCGAACTAGGGCATGTGTTGAGGAAGCCAGTCAACAACATCGCCGAAGTAGCCCTTAGATGGACACCGGAAGAGAAGAGGAAACCTGGTCGGCCAAGGACTATCTGGCGAAGGACCGTTGAAAAAGAAATGAGGGACCACAAGCAAGCTAACGTGGGGAGAGCTAGAAAGAAATGCGAAAGAGAAGTGAAGAAATCTAGTCCTTGCCCTATGTGCCCACAGCATAATAAGTACTAGATAGGTAGGTAAAAACTTTGAACTACATTGTAGTTCTTCAATCTTCATCATGAAAATGTAATTAAAATCCAGTCTCTGAAGCAAGATTGACAGTTTTCATCCCTTGATGCATCATTTCGGCATGTTTGGTTTATATAAGCCCTTTAGTTTTTTGGTAAATAGACCTGCACCCATAACTTTTACCTGGTCCATTATCAGTACAGTAGAAACTCCCATAATTATAAATAATACTGACCCAGGATGACAGATATTGACCGAATATTCATGGAGTATCAGAGTTCTTGAAATCTTTTTTCCACTGTCAGTCATTTGGACTGACTGCCACAGGAAGTTTGTCAGTCCAGACAGATTTTTATCAGTCCAAGAAAATAATTAAACATAATTTTTAGAAGATTAAAACTGTATTTGAATTTTATTATCATTACATTTCGCACCCTCCGTCATATCAGCACTGCATACTTCATGCGAATTTGATCATCGTATAACAAATTTTGTTGAATTCTCGTGGGAGGTCAATTTTTTTCATAAGTTTTTAATCTAGTTCGATTTTTCTCACCTAGCTAATACCTTATCGCCATCAAAAACTTGTTAAAACAATTAATCAATCATAGTTTGGTACTTGCGTTCATCGAAGAAGCCATTACGAGATACTGAAAAGTGTTTAACAGATTATGATCGGTCGGTTATAGGGAATTCGTACGAAATTTAGTCGGATTTTCGCAAGATGGTTTCTCAACATCTACCGGTCATTAAGACTGACACAGAATGTAAAGTGATCGGTCCTTGGTTGTTTTTATCGGTCTTGCCGACAGGACCGAAAGATTTCAAGAACTCTGAGTATTCAGACTGTACATTTGTATTATAAACCTGAACCTACCCTGTCTGTCATACATTCTGACTGGCTGCATGACAATTTTCCCCCGATTCTGCTTTAATTTGGAACAATGGAATTTATTCTTCATTGTATATCTCTCTCTAACGGTCACATATTCCCTCCCCGATGCATCTCTGGAAAACACGAAATCCTCTTTCTGCACCAGCCTTATGTGGTCAAAGCCACTCTCACAAAAAAAGTAAATATACTCAAACATAACCTTTTGCTTAAGCGACCTTGGGGAATCTGTTGAGAAGGCCGTGTTATAAAGTTTATCTATGTCATCAGGATGAATAGGAATTTTCTGTATAATTCTCCTATTCAAGGGGTTCTCTCGGAAATCTCTCTCGTTAAAGGATTTCGTGTATACCTCATGAAACATTCTGTTGGAAGTGGTAAATCTTTTACTAATGACAATGTCTTCATTTCTTAGTTTCAGAAAATGTTTCCGCAGAGCGGACTGGATGACCCGCACGGCCAAACTGTCATAATGTTTGCCGTCGGTCCTCTTCAATTCCATGTAGAAATTTGTCAACAAACCGTCCAGTTGTTTTGAAGTGTAATTCGTTTCCACGCTCGCATGTAGGCCCTTTTCCAGAAGAAAGGCCCGGAATATTGAAAGTCCTGAGCTGATAGGTCTACCTCGCCTTTTAGTTGTAGGAAAGGCGTCATTGCTATCTACACTTAAGGTTTGATCATCAATCATTTCTGCTTCTCCAACGAAAGCAGCCATATTCGGCACGATTTTCTAGGTATCATGTCAGTTTGTCTACCCACTAATTCGTTCGGTAATTTTTCTACCTATTCCAAGCGTTGTTCAGCTTTAAAATATTGTACAAACATTATTCTTTTTTAATCTTAAAAGAATATCTTTAAAAAATGAAAAAGATTAGAATGTGAAAGTTAAAATATATTCATTTGAAAGAGATTGATGTAGAGGTCCTAACTGTAAAGGGTCTAAACTGTCTAGTAGCCGGAATATTTTATTAGCTAAGTCGTGCAATAAACGTGATGATTGTTTACAATGCCGAAAGGAAAAATTTCCTATGTTAAAGACGATGAACCAGATTTTATTAAGAAGTTTAAACAGAGAGTAGGCTACAAGGAGGGCCCAACAGTAAATACAAAGGTATGTAGAATAAATTATAAATCTACAGTTCCTACATAACTAAAAACTTTTTTTTTCATTTGTAGCGTCTTATTTCGAATTTTTTCAACAAAAACGTGTGTGTACTTCGCTACCTGGGAGGAGGTTAGGCTAAGTGCATTAGTTCCTGCAATTAGTATTTATATTAACTGCTTAATTAAAATTTATGACTCCAGGGTTCACAATTTAATTTAGGTGAACTTGGACTTTTGGAAATTTAACTTTGACAAGGCTTTGTATTTTTGCATACATGACATTATGATGAAATATATAAGATAACGAACAGTAATCATGCTCAAAAGTCCGTAAAGCAAGAAAAAAAACGAGCAGAATAAACACGGACCTTCAAAACATCAGGGGTGGGATCAGCATCTTCTCTGGCCAAGGGTTTCTGATCCGAAATCTCTTGTAGAGTGGATTTTAGATCAGAAATCTTTGGCTAGCGAAGATGTGGGATCAGGGGTCATTGAGGAGTGAGCATCCCCTGCTAAACGGTCACATTTGCTGTGTGCTCCTTATGATCAAGAAATAACGGAAAAATCTGTATTTAAAGACGTCGGTCAGCATTAGACTCAGCTGCAATAATGTAGCCCTCTCCGATTTCTTTTATCTGATATTTTCTGGAGAGGGCTACAATTCCATCGCATCTCTGTAATGGTGCAAATAATTTTTTTTGATAGGCGCGATTGAAAGCAAAATAAATTATTTTTACATTTAAACTTACTTCTTTTAAGACGGAATTTTTATTCACTGTCAACAACATAGCCTGTTAAACTCGAAAATCATGTAATTAAATAAATCTGCGTCTTTCCCAGCTGCAATATTCAGCAGCCATGACATTCACACAAGATGTACTGAGACTTTCGCTTGAAATTTAGAACAACTAAATGAAGCAATTTTCAATGTTTATAAACGACTGTGTTGAAATATATCACAAAAACATCGATAAATAAAACCATTTCAAGTGTTATTTTTGAGCAAACAGCGATACGTATGCTTAAAATAAGAGAATTCCTAGTAGATCCGCTCCTATAGATTCTAAATTCTCATAGGCTATCCCAAAATAAAATATATTAAGGTCAGTAAACATGGCGGATAAATTCAAGTTGTGATGTTGACATACACGAAAAATAACCGACATATGGATCATTGTGAATATTTTTGGATCGATTTATGTTTTGCATAATTACTTTTTTGGATTCCAGGTAAGAGATGTTAAAAAAATAGCCGTTTACTGATAATTTGAGCCAAATCCGTGCGGGAGTGATTCACTGCCGCATTTGCACCATTACGGAGATGCGATGGAATTGTAGCCCTCCCCCCCCCCAAAAAAAAAACAACGGAGAGGGCTACATTATTGCAGCTAAATTTGACTCAATGATGACATGATACACATGTTCTTGAGCCCTGTGGGGATCCGGGTTAGAATAGGTCCTCAGTACCCCCTTGCTTGTCATAAAAGGTGACTAAATGGGGCGGTCCTTCTGATGAGACGGTATAAACCGAGGCCCCTTGTCACAGCAGGTGTGGCACGCTAAAGATCCCTCCCTGCTCAAAGACCGTAAGCGCCTAGCATAGGCCTAAATTTGTAGCCCTTCACTGGCAATGGTGACGTCTCCATATCAGTGAAATATTCTGGAGAGGGACGTTAAACAGTATACAATCAATCAATCAATCTGTCACATATTTCGAATTCATGGATAGAGCAAAGTCATCTTGGATCCCTAGCTACAATTGACTTATAATGAGTTCCTTACATGGATATAACGAATTACGGATAGTGAATAGTGAATACGAATAGTGAAGTAAATTCACAGGTCCTAGTAACTTCATTATAACCAAGTTTTACTGTACAGTAAATCAAAGGTTAAAAAAAACATGAATAGCCTTCCATGTCTACTTTCAGTGGAGTCTGGTTAAAGACTTGTGATAGAAAAATGTGAGAGAAGGATTTGATTAAAGATTGAGATTTAATTAAAAACTGTAAAATCACATTTTCGTGGGGTCGAATTTTCATGGATGGGGGTGGGGAGAACATTTGGTTTATAAGGATGTGAATTCATGGATGCAGAATTGTTGAGTAGTTCATGTAGTTATGTATATATGACATTTTACATTTTGTGGTGGACATGAATTTGTGGGTCTCTTAATACATCGGAAACAGCAAAAATTAACCCCCCCATGAATATTTCTGATTTTACAGTATGTTGAGATTTGATTAGGATGATTATCCTGTAAAAAAATTGATTAAAAGTAAAATCAGAGAATTGTTTTAATATTTTATGAACAGCGTGAGATGCCAGACTTTGATGACGATGATGACAGGCCGGATAATGAGGACGAGAAGCCGGTGGTTGTACAATTGAGGGAGGGGGATCTAAGTGCTGAGGAGGCGGAGAGGCTGCAAAAGACTGAAGGTGTGTATATAATACATTGTAAACAAACATTCATGCAGTGGTGGATCCGGAAATTTTTAAATACTGTAGATGTACCTTTTTCTTGTGGTATTAATTTACACTCTGTACATGGTCACACATTTTCTGCAGAAATTAAGTGTGCTTAAGGTAAGTCACTCATCAGCTTTTTAGAAAAGTTCACGCAGAAGCTTTTACTTTAAAACTACTTATTAAAATTCAATTTTTATAACATATTTAAATTCAACAATGTAAATTTTTTAACATTCAATGAAAAAACTGCTCAAAAATCTACAAAGAAGCAAGATTTATGAGGGACTATTTCTTTTGGTGGAAGGATATTTAGCAGAAAATTCTGCAAATCTGCACATTTATAAAATTTAATGTAATGGAAATTTAGCCTCACATACTTTTACTCGGAGAATATTTTCCGTTTTGATATTGCTAAAAATATTTAATATAGGTCTTAATTTATATTTTTAGACTAAGTTTTACACCTTCCCTCAACAAACTTTTCCAAAAAATGAAAATATATTAAAGAAGTCAAGATCAAATTTTCACCATTTTTTGCCTGAAAATCGCATATTTTGACAAATATTTCAAAATTAACATCACTGACCCCACCTTTTTCTTTTATTATTTTAAACTACTCGATACTTGTGACTGATCAGCACTTAAGTCGTAAAAAGTTTGATATAAGAAAAATTTTTATTGCCTATTAAGTTTTTTAATACACCAAATATGTTATTTTTTAGTGCAAAAAGGTCACATAATAATTTACGTGCATTAATTTGCAAGATCTGTTTAATGATAAATATTATTCAAACTATTTTACGTAAAATAAGATTATATTTATTGCCATGCTTACATCTGATCAAATATAATAAGGGTTAAAGTAATTAACCAAAGAGATAAAATTTAAGTGCAAAAAGGTCAACTTAAATGTACCGTAAATCAGTAGGATGCACACTGACCCCCTATTTTCTTTGCGATTTTGAGTTGCATTTTATGAGTACTTATCCAAAATATACTTCTCAAAAAATCCTTGATTTAACAAATTTCAGGAGTGACTTACCTTAATATAAATGTAAGGCATATAGTGACACTCTAGGAAATCTGCGTAATTTTCTACACGCAAATTCAACAGATATTGAGATTCTGGGAAATTTTATATATGACCCAGTGGAAAAAAGTATGTTTACAGTATAGGAATTTTAGTTCATGGCAAAATTAAATTTAAACAACTCCAGCCAGGCATTGATCATGTTGATACTTGCTAATTTGTTCATCCATAGCAAAATTTGTGCCTCTTAAATGGTCGGAGGCACAATTATTTCAAACACTGATTTGACATAACTCGTACAGGTCTTTTTGTGCATCATGTTGTTTAAGTGAAATGTTGATTGTTTTTTTTCATCCCAGAACCCCAAGCTGATGGTAAGATCACGTTTAAGAAGCCAGTGAAGAGGGGCGGGGAGGAGGCATCACAATTAAAAACTTCTACAAAGAAGAGGAAGGAAGAGAAAGGAGGGAAGAAGAAATCAGGGAAAGGTGTCAAGAACTCAACTCTGTTGTCATTTAATGAAGAGGAAGAGGATGTCACATGACACAAGTCATAGGGTGTCACATGATACATGTCATAAGATGTCACATGACACATATCATGTAATAGGATGTCACATGACACATGTCATAGGATGTCACATGTTACAGAATGTCAAATGACTTTTAACAAATATCACATGACATATGTCATAAGATGTCACATGACATATGTTATAGGATGTCACATGACTTTTAACACAGGATACCACATGAAACATGACAATGTCTTGCCATAAACTGTTCTTAACATTATGCAACATTGTAATTTATCATGTAAGGACACAACAATGCAGGTTTCATCAGATTTGGTTCTGAACATTGTACATTTCTAATCACATATTGTAATTTACTCAGACATTTCCTACTTCATTGTTTTTGATGGAATATATTGTGTAAAAAGGACAAAAAAAAAAAAAAAGAACATTCTTCATATTCATTAGCCCAAACATGAGTATTTTTTTTGATTGTACTGGAGAATATTTGGAAGCTCAAAGAGATTGCTTGTCAAGTGAAGATGTATGTAAAGACTGAAGATTACCTGCAGATTACATAGATTTTAGCACAATAATAAATATACAAGAGGCCCAAGGGCCACAGCGCTCACCTGAGCACATCGAGCTTGAATTTAACCCACCCCCCCAGGCGTTCATCATTTGAACAAACTTGAATCTACACTACCTGAGGATGATTCCATATAAATAACACTAATCATAGCTTTTAAGTACTTGAAAAGAAGATTTTAAAACGTTTCCCAATATATCCCTATGTAAAACTTGGATGGGCCATTTTGGTCCCACCCTTGCCCCGGGGGTCATGATTTGAACAAACTTGAATCTACACTACCTGAGGATGATTCCACGTGAGTTTCATCTTTCCTGGCCCAGTGGTTCTGGAGAAGAAGATTTTTAAAGATTTTTCCTATATATTCCTATGTAAAACTTGGATGGGCCATTCTGGCCCCACCCTTGCCCCGGGGGTCATGATTTGAACAAACTTGAATCTACACTACCTGAAGATGATTCCACATGAGTTTCGTCTTTCCTGGCCCAGTGGTTCTGGAGAAGGAAGATTTTTAAAGATTTTTCCTATATATTTCTATGTAAAACTTGGGTCGGCCATTTTGGCCCCACCCTTGCCCCGGGGGTCATGATTTGAACAAACTTGAATCTACACTACCTGAGGATGATTCCACATGAGTTTCATCGTTCCTGGCCCAGTGGTTCTGGAGAAAAAGATTTTTCCTATATATTCCTATGTAAAACTTGGGTCGGCCATTCCGGCCCCACCCTTGCCCCGGGGGTCATGATTTGAACAAACTTGAATCTACGCTACCTGAGGATGATTCCATACGAGTTTCACCTTTCCTGGCCCAGTGGTTCTGGAGAAGAAGATTTTCAAAGATTTTTCCTATATATTCCTATGTAAATCTTGGGTCGGCCATTTTGGCCCCACACTTGCCCCGGGGGTCATGATTTGAACAAATTTGAATCTACACTACCTGAGGATGATTCCACATGAGTTTCATCTTTCCTGGCCCAGTGGTTCTTGAGAAGAAGATTTTTTAAAGATTTTTCCTACATATTTCTATGTAAAACTTGGGTCGGCCATTTTGGCCCTCCTAGCCCCGGGGGTCATGATTTGAAAAAAATTGAATCTACACTACCTGAGGATGATTCCACATGAGTTTCCTCTTTCCTGGCCCAGTGGTTCTGGAGAAGGAAGATTTTTAAAGATTTTTCCTATATATTTCTATGTAAAACTTGGGTCGGCCATTTTGGCCCCATCCTAGCCCCAGGGGTCATGATTTGAACAAATTTGAATCTACACTACCTGAGGATGGTTCCACATGAGTGTCATCTTTCCTGGCCCAGTGGTTCTGGAGAAGAAGATTTTTAAAGATTTTTCCTATATATTACTATGTACAATTTGGGTCGGCCATTTTGGCCCCACCCTACCCCCGGGGGTCATGATTTGAACAAACTTGAATCTACACTACCTGAGGATGATTCCACATGAGTTTCGTCTTTCCTGGCCCAGTGGTTCTTGAGAAGAAGATTTTTTAAAAATGACATCAAATTTTTATTAATTCCTAATTATCTCCCCTTGAATGAAGGCGTGGCCCTTCATTTGAACAAACTTGAATTCCTTTTACCCAAGGATGCTTTGTGGCAAGTTTGGTTGAAATTGTCCCAGTGGTTCTTGAGAAGAAGTCGAAAATGTGAAAAGTTTAGAGGCAGACGGACAGACAGACGAACGCCGGACAAAATGTGATCAGAAAAGCTCACTTGAGCCTTCGGCTCAGGTGAGCTAAAAAGCAAATAATTTTACTTCACAAGTGGTGCTACCAAGAAATTATGTGATAATCAATTCCTTGTGTATATTTATGAATGACCAATCTTCTGTCATTTGCATAGTGGTGCTAATAAGTTTTGAAGTATTTATTAGGTCACCTGAGTAAATTAGGTAACCTATTAATTATATTGTTATCCGATTTTGTCCGTCATCATGTGTCGTGTTGTGTGTTAACATTTGAACATTTTCAGCTTCTTCTGAAACTGTTGAACCAATTTCAACCAATTTTGGCATATAGCATCTATGGGTGAAGGGGAACAAAAATTGTGAATTTTATGGTCCCTGCCCCCTGGGGCCTGGGCCAAAACCACTAAAATTAGTGCAATCTTTAAAAATCTTCTTCTTTACTCCTGGACATCAAGCAGTCAAACTATTCGTATGATTCTAATCAGCACTGAGTCCTCTACAAAAATTGTGAAATTCATGGCCCCAGAGTTGGGGGTTCTAGTGCTAGGATGGGGCTAAATAGATTATATAGTGAAAATGCATTATTTCTTTGAAACAAGATATGGCAATAACGAAATGGGTAGAAATTCTTCTTCTCTGCTTATTGGCATTAAATACAGTAACCTACCAGGTAACCAAATGCATAGATATGTTGAATAAAGCTGTCTCTTCCAAAATTTTGAATTTTATGGTCCCAGGGTCATGGGTTTCAGTGTTAGGGCGGGGCTATATAGATTATATCGTGAAAATGCATACATTTTTTGCAATTCTATTTCTCTGCTCATGGGCTTTAAACAAATAATTAACCAAGTGGATAGATATGTTGAATAAAGCTGCCTCTAACAAAATTTTGAATTTTATGGTCCCAGGGTCATGGGTTTCAGTGTTAGGGCGGGGCTATATATATAGATTATATCGTGAAAATGCATAAATTTTTTGCAATTCTATTTCTCTGCTCATGGGCATTAAACAAATAATTAACCAAGTGGATAGATATGTTGAATAAAGCTGCCTCTTCCAAAATTGTGAATTTCATGGGCTTAGGGTCAGGGGTTCTAGTGATAGGGCGGGCTATATAGATTATATAGTGAAAATGAATTATATTTTTGAAGGTCTTTTTTCTGCCACGTGCACCTGGGTATTAGACCAATGAACTATGTAGTGCAGAGTTATGAAGAAAAAGGTAACGTTTTTGAGATTTGTGAATTTCATGGCCCCAGGGTCAGGTCTTCTTGTATTAGGGCGGGGCTGTAATGTTTATATAATTAAAATGCATGAATTCTTTGAAATTCTTTTCATTTGCTGCTGGGTATTATGCCAATGATCTAAGTAAATATTTATGATGAAAGAAAGCTGCCTCTTTCAAATGGTTAATTTCCGGGCCCCTTTGTCATTTGGAGGGGGAGGGTACATAGTCTAAAAAATAAATTAATGCTTTGAAATCCAATTTTGAAATTAATCAACAATTTATGATGAAATTAAATTCATGATAAAATTTCCAAAATTTTGAAATATTTGGCCCCAGGATCAGTGGTTCCTGTGGGATGGGGTGCACAACTTATGGTTACGAAGTGGAAATGCATTTTATCTTTGTTACTCTGATCTACACCTGGGTATTAAGTAACCAAAGTAAGCATGCTAAATGAATAATTATGATAAGCAATGGTGTCTCTTTCAAAATTGTGAAATCTATGGCCTCTGGTTTAAAACATGAATCAAATTCAATCGTTGGAAAGTTGTTACGGATACTCATGTAACCTATAAGGCCAGTGGTCCTCTTGTATTTATTTATGATACAAATGTCATCTCTTTTTATATACTCCTGTTATCTAATTTAGCAATTACATTTCGCCTCTTTCATTTTATTTCAACAATTCAAAATCATGAAATTTTGATTAAATTAACAATGTCTGGTGCTTCCAACGTTATGTTAAACAAAAGGTCCAGGAGCCACACCGCTCACCTGAGGCTTAGGCTAGGAAAAAACAAAATCAGTTTAATGTTTTTAAAAGCTTAAATGCATGAGTGGTTCCTTTGATCCCCCATCCTACCCCCGGGGTCATGATTTGAACATACGAATCTACACTACAAGAGGATACTTCCACATGAGTTTCAATTTCCATGGACCAGTAGTTCTTGAAAAGACGCTTTTTAAAGAATTTCCCTATATATTCCTATGTTAAACTTTGACTCCTTATCATGGCCCCAAGGGCCCACCTTACCCTTGGGTGTCATGATTTGAACAAACTTGAATCTACGTTACCAGAGGATGCTTTACTGTCCCAGTGGTTCTTGAGAAGAAGAATTTTAAAGATTTTCCCTATGTTAAAATTGGACCCCCCATAATGGCCCCATCCTACCCTTGGGGGTCATGAATTGATCAAGCTTGAATCTACACTTCCAGAGGATGCTTCTACATGAGTTTCATCTTTCCTAGCCAAGCAGTTCATGAGAAGAAGTCTCAAGAATTTAAAAGATTTTCCCTATGTATTCCTATCTTAAACTTTGACACAAATAATGGCCCCTCCCTATCCCTGGAGTTTTTGATTTAAACAGACTTAAATCTACACTACCAGAGGATGCTTCCACTTGAGTTTCATCTTTCCTACACTCCTGTAACCAAGCGGTTCTTGAGAAATTTTTTTTTAAAGATTTCCCTATATATTCCTATGTTAAACTTTGACACACATAATGGCCCCACTTTACCCCTGAGGGTCATGATTTGTACAAACTTGAATCTACAGAGGATGCTTCAACATGAGTTTCATCTTTCCTGGCCCAGTGGTTCTGGAGAAGAAGAATTTTAAGGATTTAGCCTATATATTCCTATGTTAATATTTGCCCCCCCCCCCATAATGGCCCCACCCTACCCCTGGGGGTCATGATTTGAACAAACTTGAATCTACACTACCAGAGGATGCTTCCACTTGAGTTTCATCTTTCCTGATCAGTGGCGTAGCATCGATTTTGAAAGTGGGGGGGGGCAGCCAGAGAAAAAAAATATTACTTACCTAAAAAAGTTGACCAAAAAAAAAAAAAAAAAAAAACAAAACAAAGTTGCCCAAAGTCGAAAATCCTATTTCGTTGGGGGGTTGCAGGTAAACTTTTTTCTCAGTGTCAACTACTTTCAGTACCAAGTCTAATACTACATTTTCGGTACTTCCCTAAAAGTGGGGGGACCATCCAGATTTTCAATTAACATTTCCTATGGTATAAGTAAGGTTGTGAAAAAAAAGTGAGGCGGGGGGGGGGGGGGGGGGCAGTCCCCATGGTTCATGAGCAGAAGAATAATAAAGATTTCCCCTTTTTAGCAATTACATTTCGCCTCTTTCATTTTATTTCAACAATTCAAAATCATGAAATTTTGATTAAATTAACAATGTCTGGTGCTTCCAACGTTATGTTAAACAAAAGATCCAGGGGCCACACCGCTCACCTGAGGCTTAGGCTAGGAAAAAACAAAATCAGTTTAATGTTTTTAAAAGCTTAAATGCATGAGTGGTCCCTTTGATCCCCCATCCTACCCCCGGGGTCATGATTTGAACATACGGATCTACACTACAAGAGGATACTTCCACATGAGTTTCATTTTCCATGGACCAGTAGTTCTTGAAAAGACGCTTTTTAAAGAATTTCCCTATATATTCCTATGTTAAACTTTGACTCCTTATCATGGCCCCACCTTACTCTTGGGTGTCATGATTTGAACAAACTTGAATCTACGTTACCAGAGGATGCTTTACTGTCCCAGTGGTTCTTGAGAAGAGGAATTTTAAAGATTTTCCCTATGTTAAACTTGGACCTCCGATAATGGCCCCATCCTACCCTTGGGGGTCATGATTTGATCAAGCTTGAATCTACACTTCCAGAGGATGCTTCTACATGAGTTTCATCTTTCCTAGCCAAGCAGTTCTTGAGAAGAAGTCTCAAGAATTTAAAAGATTTTCCCTATGTATTCCTATCTTAAACTTTGACACACATAATGGCCCCTCCCTATCCCTGGAGTTTTTGATTTGAACAGACTTAAATCTACACTACCAGAGGATGCTTCCACTTGAGTTTCATCTTTCCTAACCAAGTGGTTCTTGAGAAGAAAAATTTTAAAGATTTCCCTATATATTCCTATGTTAAACTTTGACACACATAATGGCCCCACTTTACCCCTGAGGGTCATGATTTGTACAAACTTGAATCTACAGAGGATGCTTCAACATGAGTTTCATCTTTCCTGGCCCAGTGGTTCTGGTGAAGAAGAATTTTAAGGATTTAGCCTATATATTCCTATGTTAAAATTTGCCCCACCCCCATAATGGCCCCACCCTACCCCTGGGGGTCATGATTTGAACAAACTTGAATCTACACTACCAGAGGATGCTTCCTCTTGAGTTTCATCTTTCCTGATCAGTGGCGTAGCATCGATTTTGAAAGTGGGGGGGGGGGGCAGCCAGAGAAAAAAAATATTACTTACCTAAAAAAGTTGACCAAAAAAAAAACAAAAAACAAAAAACAAAACAAAGTTGCCCAAAGTCGAAAATCCTATTTCGTTGGGGGGTTGCAGGTAAACTTTTTTCTCAGTGTCAACTACTTTCAGTACCAAGTCTAATACTACATTTTCGGTACTTCCCTAAAAGTGGGGGGACCATCCAGATTTTCAATTAACATTTCCTATGGTATAAGTAAGGTTGTGAAAAAAAAGTGAGGGGGGGGGGGCAGTCCCCATGGTTCATGAGCAGAAGAATAATAAAGATTTCCCCTTTATATTCCCATGTTTAAATTTGACCCCCATAATGACCCTTACCCTACCCCGGGGGAGGGGGGCCATAATTTGAACAAACTTGAAATTACAATACCAGAGGATGCTTCCACATGAGTTTTATCTTCCTGGCCCAGTGGTTCTTGTGAAGAAGAATTTTAAGGATTTTCCCTATATATTCCTATGTTAAAATTTGACCCCACATAATGACTCTCAGCTACCCCTGGGGGTCATGATTTAAATAAATTTTAATTTAAACTACTAGAGGATGCTTCCACTGGAGTTTCACTTTTCCTGGCCCAGTTGCTCTAGAGAAGAAGATTTTTAAGAGATGCTTTTAATTTTCCACTTATTCATAATCATCTCCCCTTATAAGAAAGCATGGCCCATTATTTGAACAAACTTGAATTCCCTTCACCCTAGGATACTCTGTGGCAAGTTTGGTTGAAATTGGTTGGATCTTGAGAAGAAGATGAAAATTTGGAAATTTTACGACAACGACGACAGACAACGGACAAATTTTGATCAGAAAAGCTCACTTGCGCCTTCGGCTCAGGTAAGCTAAAAACTTCAAAATATTAGCAATACAAATAACAAGAATATCATACCAAGATATCCATCAGTTGATATTGAGATTTCTTCAATTTCATTTAAGTACATCAGGTTTTATTATTTGAAATTTTGAATTTACTGGGTGGCATGCGCAGTAAAATGAAAAAAAAAATACAATATGTCAGACGGCTTTCAACTGTGAATTTTATATTTATATCGCAACCCCGTAATTTCAAAACATACAATAATGCACAACAGTACGAAAAAGATAAACATTGTATATGAGTCATGCTTCGCCCTTTATGCAGATTATACCATGTCTTCCACTATCGAAGCCCGTTTTGCATAAATTATCCCATGTTTTCCACTATCGTTGATGCTCTGGTATACTATACTAACTAGACAGTGATTCCTTAAATAAACATTGTATATATATGAGTCATGCCTAAAATTTACATGTTATAATTATGGAGCATTTATGAAGATCACAAATTTAAATTCATGATGCATCATGCACAGGTTGAACATTTTTTTGTGATTAGAAATTATTCAAATCATCATTCACACTGATTGACACGTCTGAGCATAACGACGTCCTTGATACAAATCATTGCCATGATCTGATAACAAGGAGGTGTTCTCAGTAGCCTCGTTGTGGCGATCAAGATTCGGCATCTGGTCCAGGTTGTTCGCATCTGGTTCCAGGTCACGTGACAGAAAAGCAACAGATGTTCGATAATTCTCGCCAAATTGATATGGCGCACGCGCAATAAAGTGAGAGAGTGTTGTAAATCTGTGTAACAACATGCAGATAAATTGAAGAACAAACAGAAATCCAAATACAATTAGGAACAATAGGCCTGCAATAGAAGAAAAAAAGTCACTTAGTAATTCGTCTACTTTTTTGTTTTATCAAAAACACAGAAAACAAGATGTGTTTGTGAAACACTATGCGCCCGCTGGCAACAAAGTTCCAAAACCTATTTTTAGCATTTAGGTCACAGTCAAGGTCAAAAGGTCATTGATCTTAATGTCAATTAAAAGAACTTTATAAGTGGAGTATGCATATCAAATATGAAGTCTTTATCACCCATGGTTCAAAAGTTATGGTGAAAGTTCGAAAAGTTATATAGTTTACAGTCAAGGTCACATGGCCATTGACCTTGGTGTCACTTGAAAGAACTTTATTAGTGGAGTAAGCATAAGAAAAATGAAGTATGTACCTCTTATGGTTCCAAAGTTAAGGCGAAAGTTTGAAAAAAAACTACTTTTAGCATATACATCTAGGTCACAGTCAAGGTCACAAGGTCATTGACCTTAGTTTTATTTCTATGTGTTCAATTAGTGAAGTATGCATACCAAATATGAAGTCATGATCTCCTATGGTTTAAAAGTTATGGCAAAAGATCGAAAAAGCTCGTTTTAGCATGTAGGTTAAGGTCACAAGTCAATGACCTTGGTGACTTTTAAAAGAACTTTATAAGTAGAGTATGCATACCTAATATAAAGTCTATCTCTCAAGGCTCAGAATTGAGGGGGAAGGTTAAAGTTGACAACAGACAGACAAACAGATAAACAGACAAACAAACAGACAGGACAAAAACAATGTACCCCTCGAATCTATCGCATAGCAATTATCATAATAAAGCCTTCTCGATAATTTTCCGTTACTTTGGTGTGTCAGCTTCAATTTATTTGACTTTAAGTAATTACTAATTGACAATTTTAGTTTAGTTATAAAGAGGCTTTTCACGTAATAAACGTTTTATCGCAGTTCTGTGGGCAAAATTCATTTGAAATATAATTTGAATGAAATAAATTGAAATGCCTTTCTTTTATTTTAAATACATGTAATAATTTTTTCTAGCAATACATATCCCCCTCCCAAATAAATAGAATTTTAGAATAAAAAAAATAAGAATCATTAAGTGACTTATATATTAGATGCAGATCGATACCAATAGACTTATTTATACTTACTGAATATATTTGTTCCCACACCACTTTCTGGTTGGCTTTTCTCAGCCGACTATATATAGATACTGATTTACTTACTGCATGGAGTTGCCCTGGTCAGTTAGTTAGGTCAATACCTACGGGCTTATTTACTTACTAAGTATATTTGTCCCAGCCACCTTTAAGTCGATACTACTTGATATCGTCATAATAATCACGATCCATAAACAGTTGACTATCCCCGATACCATCAACCATTCGTTACGTAACGTCCTTAAATTTTCTACAAATACCAGATGTATATTTACTCCGGAAATGCAAGACTGTCAAAAATAAAATCTTGGCACATATAACAGATAAGGAACAGCGATCTTTTAATCTATTAAATAGCATAAATACGAATATATAGCATCACCACTGTGTGCATATGTGTGAGGAAGGGTGTGTGTGTGTTTATGTGTCTGTTACAGTTTTAATTTTTCTTTTCAAGAGACAACTTTTAATACTCTTTTTCTCTTCATATAAACTAGTATTATATTTACCTTTGAGAGTTTGCTCTAAACTAAACACATCTGCCGAGGGCGTTAAACAAACTTTAATGAGATCCGCCCAGAACTTATACTCCTCTCGATTCACGCTACTCAAATCTTCCAGGTGGTGGATCTGACCTATCTGCTCCTTAATTTCTCTCATGATCCGTTCCTCTAAAATAATTAAACAGAGTAACGGTGTGTATTTTCAAATGTTAGAATTATATTTTATTATTCAAAGAAAACGAGAATGTGTCGAGAATTGTAATTTTGATACAATTATAAAACCCAGAGAGATCTCTTAAGAAAAAAAACATTGAGACAAGTAAATTGTAATTATATTTTTTAACCTTTGGCTGGCTGACGAAGGCATGGAATGGCATCAAGAAGACGCTGTATATGACCTGGATTAATATCAAATAAATGCATAAAATATTCAAAAACATTTGTAAAAACTTTATATTGTAAGAATAATTATAATACAGTAGAAAAACGAATAAATAAGGAATCATTATATCTAGTTTGTTGGGTATGCAAGGGCATGGACAATTGTTGAAAGCCTGGGATAATTGGCAAAACGGGAGAAGCCCCTTATGCATAAAATATATTACATTGCCAACTATAGTTGATGACCCTGGCATAACCACCCCAACCCAACCCTCCAAATAACAATAAAAATTAGGCCGTGCAATGTATACGTTTTTAATCTTTTACGGAAGAATTTTCATTAATTTTTCTTAATGAAACAGCATTCAGTGTCTTTTGTATTAAATTCCGAACTGTATAATGAAATGATTATAGACTCCTTCGGTGGTGAACACGACTTGTAATTTACCAGTAAAAATATCAATATTGATTAACATGGTTTCACTGAAAGATTCCAATCCATAATTGTAACTGAAAATGAATAACTAGAAAAATAGTACTCACCGATATACTTATACTTGTAATAAGCAGCAACTTTAATTTGAAAATTGTTTGGTGTTGTCATTACCAAACGTATAACATAAAAGCGTTTTAGAGTTAAACTCAGTATTTGTTCAGAATAGCTCTTCAACAATTGGCAATATAGATTAATTTTATCCCTTTGAGATAAAGGATAACACAGTGTCTGACACATTTTTTCATATTTGTATATTTTACTGGACGAAGACATTTATGGAAAACAAACAACAATACTCAATTATGTACGATTTAATTTCTTAAAAGAAGCAAATTATTCACAATCGTTGTTGATGAAACAAAAATATCATCAGTCTCGTTTAAAGTAATCATTTCGTAAGTTCTTTGGTCGATATACTGGTCGTAATGACTTTGTCAGCAAAAACAATTTATATAACTGATTAAAATGCTGTCCGACGTTTTTCATACTAATTGCTAGTCATTCATTTATACACTGAATTGACAGATTTTCTCCCGTTATTTCTCGATCATGACAAGGAGCACGCAGCGGATGTGACCGGTTGGCAGGGAATGCTCACTTTTCCATGGCACCTGATCCCACCTCTGATGTTTTGGAGGTCCTTGTTTGCTCTGCTCCTGTTATGTATTGTTTTATGTACTTTGATATTGAATACCGTTCGTTATCTCCACATCCTTCATGACAAATGAGATAACTTTAACCCTACTATCACCAACTTCCCTGATATTTTTGTAGTAGTATATCCCCTTATCAACTGAATATTGAGCTTATGTCTCTCTGTTGATTCGATACACATTTATATGTAGCTTAAGGTAATTCCATCCTCCAATGATGTAATTGCTTTTTGCAAAACCAGTAATTAATATAAATTCATACTTTATAGAACAATTTTTTTGGGAAAAGTGCTTTACACTAGATGTAATGATAAATATTGTGAAGTAAACGAATTTTGAAAATGCTTTTTTTCTTTATTTAATCAATTATTCAATCTTTAAAAAATGTTTACAAGGGCAATAACTCCTTCTAAGGTCTCTTTGTTCAGGCATTTGTTTTATTGTACTTCTAATGTAAAACACTTTCCCTGATATTCACAGTTCAAAAGTATCTTATAAGTAAGAAGTATTTAGGAACATTCAGCCTCAGAATTATGCACTTAACCAGTTTTTACATATTTTTCATAATACTGTTTACAAAAAATGTGCGATTTTGTTTATGTTGACATACACTTCTGTTTATTTATGTTTCGCATCTTTTCTGCAATTATTTGATTGATTGATTGATTGTATACTGTTTAACGTCCCTCTCCAGAATATTTCACTGATATGGAGACGTCACCATTGCCGGTGAAGGGCTGCAAATTTGGGCATATGCTCGGCACTCAGGGCCATTGAGAAGGGAGGGATCTTTATCGTGCCACACCTGCTGTGACACGGGGCCTCGGTTTATACAGTCTCATCCGAAGGACCGCCCCATTTAGTCGCCTTTTACGACAAGCAAGGGGGTACTGAGGACCTATTCTAACCTGGATCCCCACGGGATGCAATTATTTGTTAGGGTGTTTCCACCCTCACAATTTTATTAGTTCAAAGTACAAAAACTGCATTTATTTTCATTTGATTTACTTTTGCAATTATTTGAAAATTTAAAGTAAATCAAATGAAAATAAATGCAGTTTTTGTACTTTGAACCAATAAAATTGTGAGTTTGGAAACACCCTAACAAGGTCCAGCACAATACACTGATATATTAAGGTATGTAGCTTGACAAATCTATTTAGCTAAGCTTTATCAATGCATTGCAAATACCTTGATCAAGGTATTTAATGTAAAGAAACAAAAAGAAGTTCATAAAAAATAAAATTAAAAAGTCAAATTATGAGTTGATGTCAGTGTGTTCACTCGTGCATGATAAGGACTCGGGTATCAAAAACAGCATGAAAGAACGTCTCCTCACACAACATGCTTTACTGATTTCTGGAGTATTTTACTTGCATGAGTGATTTTACTGACAACAACTCGGAACTCGACTTTCAGTATTTATTTTTTTTAAAGAATTGTTTTTGTATTTTCACTACATAAAATGCCTTGATCAAAGTATTTGTAATACCTTGATAAAGCTATATAATTTTATCATTATCTATACCTTAATCAGGATATTTTGCTGGACATGTTAGCATCTTATCAAATATAAAGATATGAACACTGTGTCTTACAAAGTTTCGGCTTGACAAAAATTATTCCTGACCTATTAGAATAGGTCACGCTTACCTGACATTTATAAAAACAAATACATAAATGACAAAATACATATAAGATAACTCTACCTGATTTTGTAATTTTGAGATCTTCCTCAATTTCTTCCTTTGTGATGGTTTTCAACACTTCCATATCTTGGACTGTTTTGATTTGATTTCTATTGAAGCTCTGTTTATATTCAAGTAAACCAATCCCGCGTAGCCAAGATTGTACATCGTTCTGGAAATAAAGGGTTCTCTTTTTATCATATGTAATAAAAATCACTATGAAATCTTGTATTATTGAGAACATACACACCATTGTTTTTATGATTTTTTTTCTCGTTTAGTTGAAATTTTTTAAGTATTGAACCATCTTTATGCGATTTTATGATGCCCGGTAAAACTGTTCGATCCTCTAGATCAAAACTTGTAGAAATACGAACTAAAACTATATTTTTATATTGATATATTTTTCATTTAAATACATACTAGTATTTTCATCATGTTTTACCCGGTCAAAACTACTGATAATTTATGCTTATTTTTTTGTAAAAACATCTTGTTGTACCTGATATAATACACACATGTATTGCAAATTTCTAACAAAATTATCAGTGGGAAAGATACAATATAAAGTTTGTGTAGATGTACGTTGCATATGTCCTAAATCAAGCATGCCAGAGTTTCTCGTTTTCACAAAATTTTTATTACTGAGATATAAAATAGTATTCAAGAACAAACCGGGACACCAATAGGAATCTTAAACTCTGGAATATCCTGGATTAACCGGAACAATTTCGTACGATGAGCAACTATCTTGATCCCTATTCGCTTAAGGTCCTTTTCTGTGAGCATTCCAAGGAAGTTTGTATTCTCGTATCCATTTTCGACAAAGTTACAAGCATACCCCTAAACAAAGAAAAAAAATGATTTCAGTTAAAGTGTTAAAGGTGGACTATAACGAATCGAGACCAATCCTGGACAGGGAAATCAAAGACCCATGAAAAAGGTGACACCAGGTTTCTAAGGTAAAAAAGCACCTGGTTTGATCAGGAAAATTGAGTCAATCGTAGACACATTAACATACAATGGCTTAATATGTCAGTCAAATTTCCATCATTCGAACAGTGTATTTGCAAACAGTGTCCCTCAAATGACCATAGAATTTGGTGACAACTTATTCAAATGATATTTTTGAAACACTCTTCAACATCTGTAACATAAACTTTTGTTTCAGTAGCTTCTATTAAAAATTTTATGCCATTGAGTATCGAGAGACATAACACGATATGCAGGTGATTGAAGATTACTACCGAGTAGATGAGAGAATGTAACCATGGCAAAGTTTAAGTCATTGCTCTTGTTTTGCTATCTGTTACTTGGTCAAAAACTGGTAAAGGTTAATTGAAAAATGCGTTTTGTTAATGGATAAATTGTCACTGTTGTATCGTAGGTTGAATTGAAAGACAGACTTATAAATTCATTTTCATGTAAAGGTTATCATTTTTGCTTTTTAAGAAAATAGAAAATTTGTGATATTTTACGAGGCCATTTTAAGTGTTTGCTTGCCCTCTCCGGACCGACTGGTTAAAATGGCCCCACTCAATTTTGCAAAAACTCCTTAATATAAAGATTTTTTTTATTTCCATAATACCCGATTCCATCAATTAATATTTTGGTTTTCTTATATATAAAAAGACTTTATCATCTTTAAAT